TGTTGAGTGTTCCAAACTTGCTGGCATATTGAGTGTAGCACCTTAACAGCGTTATCTTTTAAGATTTTAAGTAGTTCAACTGGAATGCCATCACCTCCACTGGCCTTGTTGTTAGCCATGCTTTCTAAGGCCCACTTGACTTCACTCTCCAGGATGTCTGGCTCAAGGTCAGCAACCACACTATCTTGTCCGGGATATCCAAATCTTTCTGGTATAATTCCTCTGTGTATTCTTGCCATCTCCTCTTGATGTCTTCTGCTTCTGTTAGGTCCCTACCATTTTTGTCCTTTATCGTGTCCATCTTTGCACAAAATGTTCCTTTAAAAGCTCCAATTTTTTTGAACAGATCTCTGGTTTTTCCCTTTCTATTATTTTCCTCTATTTCTTTGCATTGTTCATTTAAAAAGGCCCTCTTGTCTCTCTTTGCTATTCTTTGGAAGTCTACATTCCATTTTCTGTAACTTTCCCTATCTCTCTTACATTTTCTTTCCCTTCTCTTCTCTGCTATTTGTAAGGCCTCGTTGGACAGCCACTTTGCTTTCTTGCATTTCCTTTTCTTTGGGATTGTTTTCGTTGCTGCCTCCTGTACAATGTTATGATCCTCCATCCATAGTTCTTCAGGCACTCTGCCCACCAAGTCTGGTTCCTTAAATCTGTTGTTCACTTACACTGTGTATTCATAAGGGATTTGGTTTAGATTATACCTGACTAGCCCAGTGGTTTTTCCTACTTTTTTCAGTTTAAGCTCGAATTTTGCTATAAGAAGCTGATGATCAGAGCCACAATCAGCTCCAGTTCTTGTTTTTGCTGACTGTATAGAGCTTCTCCATCTTTAGCTGCAGAGAATATAATCAATCTCTTTTCAGTATTGTCCATCTGGTGATTTCTATGAGCAGAGTCACCTCTTGTGTTGATGGAGAAGAGTGTTTGTGATGACCAGCTTGTTCTCATGACAAAATTCTATTAGCCTTTGCCCTGCTTGGTTTTGAACTCCAAGGCCAAACTTACCTGCTATTCCTTTTATCTCTTGACTCCCTACTTTAGCATTCCAGTCCCCTATAATGAGAAGAAGTTCTTTCTTTGATGCCAGTTGTAGAAGGTGTTGTAAGTCTTCATAGAATTGGTCAATTTCAGCTTGTTCAGCATTGCCGGTTGGTACATAAACTTGGATTACTGTGATGTTGGTCTACCTTGGATTTGTATTGAAATCATTCTACCATTTTTGAGATTGTATTCCAGTATAGCTTTTCCCACTCTTTTGTTGACTATCAGAGCTACTCCATTTCTTCTACAGGATTCTTGCCCACAATAGTAGATATGATAACTGTCTGAATTGAATTCACCCATTCCCATCCATTTTAGTTCACTAACGCCCACAATGTCAATGTTTATGCTTGCCATCTCCTGTCTGACCACATCAAGGTCCCCAAGTTTAATAGATCTTACATTCCAGGTTGCTATGCAGTATTTTTCTTTGCAGCATCAGACAATCCATTCACTTCCAGGCATGTCCGCAGCTGAGCGTCCTTTCAGCTTTGGCTCAACCATTAGCTCTGGAATTACTTGTCCTTGACCTCTGCTCTTCCTCAGTAGCATGTTGGATGCCTTCCGACCTGAGGGGCTCATTTTCCAGTGTCATATCAGCCTTTTGTTTCTGTCTATGAGGTTTTCTTGGCAAAGATACTGGAGTGGCTTGCCAGTTCCTGCTCCAGGTGGATCGTGTGTAGTCAGAACTCTCCATTATGACCTGTCCGTCTTGGGTGTCCCTGCACGGCATAGCCCATAGCTTCTCTGAATTACTCAAGCCCCTTCGCCACAACAAGGCAGCAATCTGTGAAGGGGTGGCAATAGATTAGAAAAATGCAAAAAGAAGGCAAGATGTTTTCTACTGCTATATATTAACTCCCACTGGGAACTTTCTCTTGAATCCCCACATTGCACCCTTTCATGGAAAGAAGCTGATAGGGAAGAGTTATCCCCTACTCCCCTTCACCAACTCCTGCTTCCTAAATGAATGTTCTGAACAAATAACAAACCATGGAATTTTGAGTGTCTGAAAACCAAAGTAAAGGATGCAGTTAGTATGTCATTAAATACAGAGATCCCTTGTGAAGTAAAAGATTGACATTGTTCTAATAGGAGCTTTCTTGAACCATCAAATTATCCAGCTTTTGAATTACACTTGGTCATCAGGAGATAAGCACAATTTCAATTGCACATCTGATTTCTCAGCAAACAGCTTTAAAATATGTATGTCCCTGGAAGGAAAACCTTTTAAGAGGAAGAAAAACACATTCTCTTTTATGTGTGATCTGTCTTTGAGGGCTGATCATCTAGCAAAATTGTTTCACACTGCGAGACGAGGCTCTCAGCTTGGGCACAATAATTCTCCTTTGGCATGTGTGCACATAGGTACTTTTAGCTAATCAGGTCTTGGATCTGAAACCACATTGCACTCTGGGCAAAATATTGAAAGGTAGTGCCCCCCATACCCTTTTGTCACATGTAGTCCTCCATTCTTTCCATTTCTGAGAAGCTGAAATCTGTGTTCCACAAATACTCTAAAGAGAGAATGTCCCTTTTACCTGCAAGTATGTCTAAAGTAATGTGTGTTACAAATTGCTGTTTCTTGCTGGCAGCCATTGTGCTGCTGTTTGTCATTTATCTGACATTGTTAAGTTCTGACCTTCTTTCTTGAGTTGCCATTCCAATAGCCACAGTGAGATGCGTTATTGTCATTCCTGTTTCAGAAATCTTGAACTAAGGACCAAAATAAATACGAAGACAACTATACAATTTCCTCACAGCTACATGTCTGAGCTATCAGACTTAGAAATTGAGCCTGTATTTACCTCTTGGTAACCAGTCATAAAACAAAAAACCTGAAAGTACAAGCTATGAAGATGAGGAAGAGCATGTACTAAAATGAAGAGATGCATTTCACAACTTAAGGAAGTACAGTACTGCTTCTATGTTTGAGCTAAACATATTAGCCAAAATCTTGTGCAGTTTCAATTGTGTGACAAGAATCACATCATTGCAAGTGGCAGGTTGCTGATTAAAGACTTCCTATTTTGATTTCTGAGTATGCATTACTCTCATGAAATGAGATGAAATTGCACACAAGTAAAATTTGAAAAATCAGTGTCAGTCTGCCACTGATTATGATGATGTCATTCATATTGCACAGATGGAACCTGCCCAACAGGATTTCTACTGTCATCTAGTTTGGTTCTATTAAAAGACCATCACTAGCTGAAAGCCCTAATAACACAATCTCTTTGTAGTTTTTTGCTATCCTTTTTCAATAAAAGTTCTAGCATTTAAATGTGCTGAATTATTCTTCTACTAAATAATTAACGTGCAGTCACATCAATTCTTACTGACAGAGATCCTTTCCTGGATTTTCCAGGTAAAGAGTTTCATGATGGCAAACTATCTGAATTTAGTGACAGGAAAATACGCAGAGTTAATTGAAGACACTTATACGTTCTTCTTCTTTAGCAAGAGGGGTGTATTTACAATATTTACAAGTATATACAGGCTGGCATCACTTCAGCATGGCAGGAAATCATTAAATAAACCAGCATAGAGGATAGCAGCAAGTGATAGAGAGAGAAGAGAAATCTATGAACACACTGTTCACTTATATACATATACAAGGCTTCTTCAGTCCAATCAGAAGACATATTACATCATCTTCTGCACCTGGGTGTCATCTCATCTTCAGACATTGCATCATCTCCTCAGCAGTCACAGTGACTCAGCATACACACATCTGTTCACAATGGCAGCTCATTAATAACACATTTATCCAGGTTCAGGCCTATAAAAATTACAATATCCTGACACCCCTCCTAATTTTTTTATGCCTGAACAAAACACATTCCCAACTCTTGTACACATTTTTCATGCTTCTGAGTATTCAAAGGCTTAGTCAAAATGTCTGCTATGTTTTCTTCTGTCTGGCAATACTCTAATTCAATCAATTTTTCTTTTATTGCCTCCCTTACATTATGGTATTTAATATCCACATGTTTACTTCTGTTTTTCACTCTTTCTGTTACAGCCATGTGTATGCATGTAGTGTTATCCTCCATCACTTTTATTGCACCACTTGTTTCAATTTTTAAATCTTTTGCTAACTGTTTGTACCAAGTTAACTCTGAACACAATTCTGACAAAGCGGCAAATTCTGCTTCCCATCATTTTGTAATTTCCTTTTAAACACCCACTTGCTACCAATAACCTTATGTTCTGCAGGTAGCTTAGTTTCTGTAAATACTTTGTGCTCTTCTATGGATCTCATTTCCTCATCCATGGCATCTTGCCATTTCCTCCTTTCAAATTCAGGAAGTTCCATTACCTCCTCATAATTTCTAGGTTCTAAATATACATGACAAACTCTTTCTCCACCCACTCGAAACCTCTTGGGTGGTACACCCTTGTTTGCCCTTTCAGACCTCCTAGGACTCTGTGTTTCTGGCTGTTTCTCTGACTCACTAATGTGTTTTTCTTCATAATTTTCATGTTCTTCTTCATCTTCTTCAACTGAGGACTTCGTGTCTTCTTCATGTGTTTCTGACTGCCTAATCTGACTCCTCCTTGTGTCATTTAATGGGATAAATATCTGTGAATTAGCGTGCACTTTATCCCAATTCTCACCTTCATTGAAACTTGCAGACCTGGATATCACAATATTTCTATTTCCATCAACAAACCTATATGCTTTTGATCCAGGCTCATAACCTAAGAACCTCATCTTCTTTATTTGAGCTCTGCCTTTTCTCCTTAACTGTTTTGGTACGTGTACCCATGCAGTACAACCAAATACCCTCAGGCCTATAAAAATTACAATATCCTGACACAAACATCCACAGTGAAATATGTGTGTGAGATTGACAGAGTTATTACTATAACCTTTTGTCTTGTCTGTTTCAGCTCTGAGTAAGAGTGTTACAGTACCCCCTCCCTATAACATCTTCCTTTGCTACAAACAGGCTCCACTTCACACTGGAGTTGTATCTGAGCAATGAACGAGTGCAACACCTGGAGACTGATGGGCCAGAGAGCCTGAATTCCTGGGCCAGTGCTATTGGCAAGGTAATGGTCAGATGTAAGAGCACTTCACTAGTAGCCTGTGCACACTGGATTGGGCGCTTATCTTTTAAGCTCAGGCACCATCTAGCCATCCATTCTTCACTGCCGCACATGAACCACCAAGTCCAGAGTGTGACACTGCTTTTGCTTATCATCTTCTATGCCCATTGAAACTTTCTTACCACCCTTTTGCACATCCCTCTTTGCACAAGGCTGCATAATTTTATCCTGTCCATGCACCAATCCCCTCAGCCATAGGAAGCTGTAAGTTGCAGGCTTGGCCATGCTTGAAATGCAGAATATCACACAAAGCACTAGGGAAAAATGTTCTGCTTTTATATATATTTATAATCAAAGCAGCAATCCAGAATATATATATATATTCTGGATTGCTGCTTTGATTATAGTCATTTTCTTATTTTCATTTGTCATTTATGCTTTCATGTTTGTGAGTAACCTTGGGTGAAATTTTTATTCTGTAAAAAAGCATAGAGAAATGCAAGTGCTAAGTAATGACCAAATACATACGTATTTGGCTTCCATGTTTTGGTCAAAATTCACAGGGCATGTATAACCACTTCAAGAACCTCTCCAGGTTTGACGCCTTTCTTTGCACCTTCCTTTCCAGTGGTTCACCCCTCTCAGCTGCCACTGCCTGCTGGGCTACGAATTCCAGAAAGTGGGCAAGCTGTGCTATAAGTCCATGTTAAATCCCAACCAGTGGCTGCAAGGTTTCTTCATCCTCCAGAAGTCGCATCTCTTCATCTGCCCAGGAGAAGAAGGGACAGCAGAGGACAGCATCAATTTGCGACAGCTTCAGGAACTCAGTGAGTCTGGTTCTTGCCCTGATAAATGGAGGGGGGACTCTGCCCCCCCCCAGCCCTCTCTCCCACAATTTCAGAGAGATTCATAGACTGGCACTAAAGCTTTGTTGACTCAGAGTGGGAACCAACCCTAAGCCAACAAAACATCTGAGCTTTGAGAAATTCACAGCTTACAAATGTTTGCATGGCACTTATATCCAATGTCTCCATCTCCTGGCTTTTTTATTTCTAGGTGTTGTACCCCTTGTGGAAGGTCCAGAGAAGAAAGAGATGCTGATCCTGGTGGAGATGGGGAGGTAAGACGTCAGAGTAGGGAGGACCATCAGAAAGCAATTAGCAATAGTTTTTAGAAATTAAAGAGCCCTTCCCACTGTCCTGCAGCTCCCAACAGCTATCTCATAATAAGAGCATCAGGATTTTCAGGGAAGAGGTCAGATACTTTATGTACAAAAAAATGACAGTGACTGATGACATCAGCCTTATTCCACAAACAGGACAGAGAACCAGCAAAAGTTAACGAGGGTACCCTCTGTACAGAATGCGTTCCCCATTCTTCCCTCCACCTGACCTGAATGGGCTGTGCTCATGCCTGCAGTACATATTAACTGGAAGAGGAGGGGTGTTTTTACTCATCTTCCTTGGCTCCTATTTCAGGACTAATGGGAAGGATAATTGTTCAAGATCCTCTAGCCCAGGAAATGCCTCAATCCCACCGATCTGGGAAAAAAGGTCATTCATGAAACCAGTACAACTGCAATTCTGAGGGAAGAAGCAGGCTATGAAATGATGGCCCTAAGCATGTTTGTCCCCTTCCTGCTGTTCCCTTAAATCAGCTGCTCAAAAGCTGGCTTGTTGAGTGTCTGCTCATTATTGTGTGACTAAATCAGAAACAACGGTCAGTTATGAGACCTGGATATGCTGCTGGTCAAACCATGGAAAGGTCAACAAATTTAGCTTGAGTTATATTTGAGCAAATGAGATATCTGAACTGAAATTGGCAGCTATATACAGGATGGGATAGAACACTGTTGGTCCTTTAGGTCAGCCATTCTCAACCTTTTAATGAAAGATAGGCCAAATCAGGATTGTATAAGTTGCATAACAAACCTTATAAGATAGCGTGTGAAGAATTGGGGGTCTATTTTAATGGAGAATGACTGTTTTGTGTCATTTGAGCCTTCCTGAGCTTGTGGCTGTAGTACCACTCCCTGGACATTCACTATGCTAGTGCTAAAGCACAGCTGAGTGGAGTGGAGCAGCTGCTTCCCTTGGCAAGTCCAGAATTTAAAGTGCCAGAGTCTTTGCTTTGAGAACTCAGATGCTTTTCGTCAATGTCACTAAGAGAGACATATAGCGCAGCATCTTTTCTTTCCACTTTCTTCCACATTTGGAGGCTCTCTATGGTGCACTTAAATGTTTTTGCCCTTTCTCTAACTCTCTGTTTTTTCTTTCCCACTCTGAGTAAGCAGAGTGGAACAAAAGCTAGGCTGTATCTGGGTTTCAGACATTAAAACTGTCTTGAAAAAGTCTTAACTTGGAGGGAGGGGGAACATTGTAATGAAATTATTGTGTTTTGGAACAGCAATTCTCAACAGGGGCCATATGGCCCCCTGGGGGACCTTGGCACATTTGAAGAGGGGGCACAGACTGGAAACAAGGTATGTCATGTGACTTATATAATCCTAATTCCGCCTATATTTCTTTCACATTGTGTTCATGGTTGTGGCCAAAAAAAAATTGGTTGATAATGGCTGTTTTAAAAGATAGTGTTAAGGAAGTGCTAATAAGAAAGAAGTGTAATAGGAAATACAGGCTTGTTGTCATGAAGCCAGAGAAATTGTGTTGTTGGTGGACAAGGGAAGTGTGTCTTTCTGGAGACGATGGAGTTGTCATGAGAAAATCCCAGGCCAGAAAAGAGTGATGTTGGACAATAGGGCTGCACTCTAGAGAAAGAGAAACCGACAACACTGGTAGCGGGTAGGAGGAGGCCCAAATTCACCAGCCACAGCAGTCTCACTCATTTCTTTCTTCTTCTTTAGGACCTTCTGTCTTCAAGGGGCCTCCAGACTGGACTTTTCCACCTGGTGTACAGCTATCCAGGCCTCAGCAGGGGGGCAGGGAAATGCCTTGCGAGATCAACAGCTCAGCAGGAGTGGCATCCCCATCATTGTGAACAGCTGTATTGCTTTCATCACCCAGTATGGTGAGTTACTCAAGACTTCCTCTCATCGGCTAGCAGTAGATAGTCCGTTTTCCTGAAAATAAGACCTAACCCGAAAATAAGCCCTAGTATGATTTTCCAGGATGCTCATAATACTGTATAAGCGCTACTCCAAAAATAAGCCCCAGTTAAGTGAAACCCTACCCTCCACAATTGTGCAGCAACCAGAAGAAGATGACATGACTGTAAAATAAAACATCCCCTGAAAATAAGCCCTAGTGTCTTTTTAGAGCAAAAATTAATATAAGACCCTGTCTTATTTTCAGGGAAACATGATAGGCAGTGGTGGCTTTCGGGGTGTGTTTGACCTACAGTTGCTATCAGCCATAAGGGGATAACTAGTGGTGAGACATTGTGAGGACTTCAGCTCAAAAACATCTGGAAACCCAGTTACCCCCTCCCGCTCTACTGGAATCCACATAAGTGTTTTCACTACAGATGTTTATAAATTTACAAGTGAGAAGCTGAGCTGCTTTTTAACTTGCAGCAGGTTCTCCAGGAGGGGAGTTTGTGTTGTTGGTTTTAGCTGGCAACAGTATTTGAAATACTGAACTCATCTGTGTTACAATGTGCCAGGGGCTACAACATTCCATGTTATCAGCAGCTGTTCATCCAGCAGATCTGTGGTAAGGAAGATGCCCACCCATCCTCAGTTGTTCCACTCTGAAGAAAATACGTAGAAACCCTCAGCACTAGATCCCATACAGCCCTGAAATTAAGCTTTGGCCTAACACCAATAACTGGCAGCAGATCCTAGTCAGCAGCATCCCTAGGCTGAAGCCTCATGAGGAGATGTTCATCAGCTGATATCCCTGAAAAAAACTAAGAGGCACAGGAAGCTGGTAATGCTGCCTTATTTGGTGAATGACACTGGATCCGAGCATAACAATTCATCAGAAGTGTTTTTTTTTAAGCCCTTTACTGAGCATCCTTTAGAAGTTCCATAAACTCTGTTTGATTTTGATGATCTCTATGGCTCAAAAATAAATCTGCAGAAGGCATTATATGGTGGTCCAAATAAATGTTACCCTGCCCCTGGATTCAACACTTGTCTCACGTATCTTATTCTTGGATAAGGGTGGATAAGGCTCAGAATATTCTGGACAATAAAAAGCTGGGATCACCAGAGAAACATGAGTAAACTACATTTGACAGCAATGTTTGTACTTCTGCACATTGGTGAGAATCCTGTTACTTATATTCAGTGGTGAAAGTCCAATGGTGTAAATCTCAGTCACAAATCTGTCACTAGTTAAGAAATCGCTACTTGTATTCCTCATCACATGCCAGTCACATGGCTTAGCCTGTGATTAGGAATATGAGTAGTGACTCCTTAACTAGTGGCAATTTGCTGCAGAAATATATGCCAATACACTTAAGCCAGTATATGTAAGTAGGAAGATTCTGGCCACTATTTATATTAGTTTACAAAGCAGATCCCTACTGTATTTCAAAGCTGAAAAGCAAACATTTGTTCATTGTTGAACAATGTGTTATGAATCTTTTGGACCTGGCCAGTAAGAAAATAATGATCTATAGTGATAAAAACATTCCAGATATTTTGTCAACCTTTCCTTTATTTATATACCAGTGTTGTTTCCATAGCAGAGCCCTGTAGGACTGCTGACCCATCACTTTCCCACAATCAGCTGGAGGCAGAGTAAGAATGAAAATTCATCATGGCAGTAAATATAGCACTATATTATCTGGGAGTGCCCATCACTTTCCAATATCACCGAGAACTTTAATTAAAAACCTTCTCCTTGCATCTCCTTCTCCTGTAGTTGCATTCTGCTAAAATAGTCTGTCATAATTTCTCACAATGCAGGAGTTATAACATTGGATATAATCAAACTATTCCATCTGTAGCTACTAGCTGTGTTGTGCAGGTGAACATTTTTGATATATCAGAGTTTGCAAGTAATCAGAGGTTAAGTTCATAAAGTCCACACAGACCAGGGAAGAGTTCCAACATCAAAATGATTAGATAAGTAAATTTACATAGTACATTTTGGGGAATTTGAAGTTGGCCATGTGGATATGCTGACATTTGCAGAGAATGATATATGTGATGCCTCTCAAAATAACACTATCAGGGTTTTGGGCCTCGTAAAGGGAATGCATTGGTCACCTTAGTGCAGCAGCCCCCAACCTTGGGCCTCCAGAGGTTCTTGAACTTCAGCTCCCAGAAGTCCTGGCCAGCAGAGGTGGTGGTGAAGGTTTCTGGGAGTTGTAGTCCAAGGTCATCTGGAGGCCCAAGTTTGGGGACCACTGCCTTGGTGGACCGTCTCCATTAGAAAGAGTAGTATTGTTGTTGTTTGATTTCTTGGTGGTTGAGATAAGGGTAGGTAAGTTGTTAGTATGGATTTATAGTGGCAAGAATCTTTCCTGGTTTTGTGCTGACTAAACTGGAGGAGATCTGGTTTGACACTGTGACCATGGTACTGTTGTGGGGGGGTTCCCCTTAAACTTTGTTTTGTACACCCTGATATTTATCATATGTATGAAAATGTTGGGAGAGGCCATTCAGATTTGGAAGTTCAGTGTCCTTCTCTCAGCATGTTAAAAACCTTTTATTTCAGATGGGCATTTGGCACCTAAGATGGATTGTAGCTGAAGGGAGCAGTTATTGGTTTGGTACTGTGTTTTTAATTTGCTTTTATGTTTTCTTTGAATATTACTGTTGGTAACTACGTTGAGTGCCATTTCTGGCAGAAAGGCAGGAAATAAAATAATTTTTTTAAATGTGCCTACTTCATGAAGAAAAAAAATGTTTTTGGAAAGAGATGTATTTAATATACCATGTTTGAAAGGTCATTTTCTGTAAAGCTGCAATTATGTAGTTATGTACATTCGCCAACACATAATCCCATGGACCACAGTGGAATTTTTCTACTCTACCTAAAATGTTGGACAGTACATCCCCTGGGTGATTTGCAAACTTGCATACGCATGCCCCTTTCACCTGTAATATATGCAGCTTGGAGCCAGTAATGAGTTTGTTTTTCACTAAGCTTCTGCAGTATTAATTAGTCATCTGTTCTGCAGAGAGCTTTAATTATTGGCTCCTTTTATTATTTTTTAAATTTAATTTTGTTAGTGCAAGACTGCTGTTTGACATTATAAAGAATAAGAAATGAACAGGAAGAAATAGTTAAGTAGACCCTATCCTAAAGCCTGGTGGACTGATGAACAGAGGGCTGATTAAGGAGCAGTTCAATTATGCTCTGTCACCAGTGACCAGGAACCAGTTACCAGGGAGAAGATGTAAGGAAGCTCTTCAAGGAAAGGTCAGTAGCCCCGATAGGCTTAGCACTACTTTCACCACACTCCCTTCTGGTAGTGCAATCTGACACAGCTGTCTTTGAAACTATTATCACTAGTCAGATGTGGAAAAAGATGCTCTGCATATGCACCTACTCCATATACACTGAATGTAGTGTTCAGGCAAACTTGTTGTCTGGTGTTGGGTTTGTTCTGTTCTTTGTTTTGATTAAATGTGAGTGAACAGTGGTAAGCCACTTCAGATTAAATGTCTAATATGCAAGCTGTTGAAATTTATGAGAGTTTACATACTGCAGATTAAGTGTAAGTATAAAAAAACCCACACAGATTATGAATAATCCATTGAGTCATAGTAAACTTTAAGAACATTTACTTTTAAATATATTGAAGAATAAGCTACCAACAGTTAAACATTTGACTTGGTATTGATTTGGTCTGTGCTTGACAGATTTCTTATAACAATCCTAGGACAGACATCTTCTTTAACAGCTGTCCTGCATCCAAAAAAAGTTGATGAAAACATATATGCAACTGAGTTTCATACACAGTGTGAATCTAGTCATAGATTCATAGACTCAGAATAGTTTTCTTTGGTACTGTTTACAATCAGCCAGACTGTGTATTTGTTCCTCCCTCTTTCCCCCTATTTGGGAAGAGAGTGTAGGATTCATTTCAGGGCTTCATTGCCACTGCTCGCTAACTGAGGCAATAATATATTTGATTACTGTATGTGAAGCAAGAGTTCAATTAAACCTTTTTCATTACTTTAGTCATAAAAACCCTTTGGAAAGTCAATAGAGTGAAATGGGTTTGGTTAGATTTTATTCTGTTCTGTTGGGGTACAAAGACTCTGCTTTCATCACCTGCCCCCGAGGCACTGGAATGAGATGAACTACCAATCAAGAATGTCTCTGCTGAAATCACTGGCTGAAGACGTGAGCTAGCAGGGAGAACTCACTCTTGTTTCTGTGATTTGTTTTGGTTTTTTGCTCAAAGTCTAATGTCTGGACTTGACCTTTTTTCTCTGCCAGGGCTGCAACATGAAGGCATTTATCGGAAGAATGGAGCCAAGTCCCGCATCAAGCTTTTGATGGATGAATTCCGACGAGATGCCCGAAATGTCAAGCTCCGCATTAGTGATAATTTTATTGAAGATGTGACGGATGTACTGAAGAGGTTTTTCCGAGAACTGGAAGATCCTGTCTTTACCACATACCTGCACCCCCAGTGGAAGGAAGCTGCAGGTACCGGCCTTGATGTGCTACACCATTTAGCGCCCAGGACGGGGCTGGGATGCTTGAAGCCCTCCACGTATTGTTTGGCTGCAAGTCCCATTACCTCTCACAGTTAGTTGCAGGAGCTAGAGTTGATGGGCATTGCAGTTCAGCAACAACCAGAGGGCCTCAGGTTGCCCACACTTGTGCTAGAGCCTCTTTTCACATCCTAGATCTTATTGTAAATTTGCCGTCAAAGAAAACATTGCAGATTGCAGTTTGCCATGAACCAGATTTTAAGCTCACTTTTACAAAAAAAGAAAAGAAAAGCATTCCTCTATAGTGGCCTATAGAGCTCTTGCCCCCAGTACCCCTGCACTCTAAAAGATATATGTTTAAAAATAGGGGGGCATACTCAAAATCTCCCCCTAGGGATATGGAAGCAGTTTTGCCATGTTTTTTTTTAATTATTTAAGTATTTATTTAAGGACAGGGTAGGGAATACAAAAGTAAGGGGGAATAGGGAAGAGGGGGGAAAAGGTTAGGGGGATAGGAGAACACAGAGTATACCATCATCCAATCAATTCATATTACAATAACAGACCAACTTTTTGCTTTTTCACAGTTTGATTACCCTCCTGCTTTCATCTTATCATTTAATTTTAGTTTAATTCTATGTTACTCCAACACTATCTGGTAACTGCAGCCATTTATACAATACATCCCATCGTTCAGTTTCCTTTTGAAGGAAGGAATATCCATTTTTGTCACTTCCCATATTGTCACAATAAGATTCTCTTGTTTCAGTGTCTCTTTCTTGAGATTTTTAACATAATGCTTTTTAATTTTGGAAGCTGCATAGGTCACTGGATAACTCTCTATCCCATCTATGTTACCTGGTGTCATGCCCAATAAAGTCGGTTCTTTCATCAGATCTTCTATTTTGCTAAGACCTTCATGTACTTGCTGAAACCCTGTTATTATTATCTTTTGCATAGTAATCTGCAATTCCTTTTCTATTTCTTGTACCACTTTGGGATTGAACAGACCAAGTCTCCATTTGTTGTCTTAAATTTTTGGAAACCATCTCAGGCTTTCTAATGAATGGGGTTTGTATAAATAATACTATGCCCTTAACCACAATGATCGCCCCTT